GAGAGAGAGAGAGAGAGAGAGAGAGAGAGAGAGATGGGTGCCCAGAAAGGCAATAACACTGTCTGGCCATTGCATCGTTTTCTCAGACGACACAATTGCTTTGCTTTCCCGCCTGCACAACTGATCGAATAGAGAATTTCAATTTTGCCATTTGCAATCTCTGCCGCAGCTACTGATGATGAGGCGAACACCGTGCGATGTCTGGCGCTCGTTGTCTCCTGCTTCCTAAACGGCCTTTCTTGTCATCAACAACAAAACTGCCGCGTTTCCAGCTGCGTCATCTTTGAACTATGATGCTGATGTGGCAAATGGAGGAAATGGGTAAAGGAGAAGCACTGCAAAGAGAGTTGTGTGAATGAAAGCTCAATGAATGAATGGCTGACTGACTGAATGGCAGAACTGTGCTACTCTATCACTGGCGATGATTACGCCAACAATTAAGCAAAGTGGATGCACTTGGAAGCAATGGAAGTGAACCTGCTGTCCTTGTCACCGGATCGATTGTCGACTTGGCAGCACTTTGCGGTGACAGTTTCAATTCAAAAAAATTAATTAAACTTTTTAACTAGTAGAAAACGAGTGAAAAAGAAAACGACACGGACATTTTATACACAATTCATATACTTGCCGCTTTGGAGAGTCTGTCAGGCCATTGACGGGTGTTTTGCTGTGCATTGCAAAACGCTGTGCTCTTCATTTTCTTCCCTTCCTCTCTCTGCATATTCTCAATTCTTTGTTGCAATTTGAAATTTAAATTGGACTGCTAAGTATGAGTGTGTAGGCTCACTCGGTTGGTGTGCTCTGTCTGCCTGATGTCTAATGATCGGCGTGATAATTAGAAATGCTCTCCGGCGTTGGTTCAGTAGTTAGTTGTGCCGAGCTGTGCAGCAAAGCAAATCAAGGTTGCCGGTGCAAAGACATCGTCGTCGTCGTCGTTGTCGTCGAGGACTACTTATACGTCGACAGTAAGTTGTAGAGTTTTAGAGTTCAATTTGCAACTGGGCAAATTGATTAACGGCGCAGTGCTCTCCTCAGCACGATTATGCGGGCGATGGCAATTGCCAATCGTTGCTGGTGATAATTTGGGCAAATTCAATTTAAAGTTGCGATGCTGCGGCTGCAGTTGCTGGTGAACACTGCAAGTTGTGCACTGTGCATCTTTGGCTGATGCTGATGCCCGTTTTTCTGGGAAGCCACCACTGCACACACGCACAGTCAGTCCTGCTGTACAAAGACAAAGTATCTTGGCAGACAAAGATGGCCAATTTAGTCTCTTTGCTTCATCTTCTGCCACTACTACCACTTTTGGACTCTTTCGATTGCCGCTAATCAAATTGTTTCTCTCTCGTCCTGTCAAGTGTCACTAATTTTGCTGGTAATTGTCAAGCGGCTGCTCTTGCCCATTGTCATAACGGTCACGTTTAGTGACTCTACTCTGTGAGTGTTTGCAGACAGTTGCTCTCGACAGCGACTCGTTTTGTTTCTCTCCTTTCCCTTTTCTCTCGATCAGCACTGTCTGCCTCACTAATAAGGCCGACCCCAATGAAAGCGACAGTGGTGATAAAACAATGCTCTCGTTTTCTACTTTACTAATTGAATTTGCTTGTCATGATCGGTGTCTGAGTGGAAGAGAGCTGGTTGAGATGTGCTGTCACCTTGCTTTTTTTCTGAGGTGTCTCTGTCTGGACAGATGGGCCATTTCTGTAGGGACCAGCCGCATCATCATTTCTTTTTGCCCCTTTCCCACTCACCCACTTTCTTTTCAACTGGCCCTCAAATTGGCCACTGATCGAGTTGAGTTGAAGTAAAGAGAAAAAAAGTTTATTTTTGCCCCACTTATAGGTTTTTAACGGATGCAATAAAGACGAGGATGTGGCAAAAACAGCAATCTTTTACCAAACAGACAGCTTAGCAGTTGCGCCAATTGCTTCAGTTTTGCTGCTGCTGGTGCTGATGCCTCATAAAGGCATTTTCTCTCTTCCAAAGTGATGTGCCGCCAAATGAGTTGAATTTCGAATTAGCTAAAATGAGTTGCAGCGAATCTTTCTTTTGGCTGCTGTTGTTGGAACGACTCGATTATGCTGCCTGACAGGCATTAAACTGACTGACTGAGTGATTCGGGTTGAAGAGGACTGGAGCTCAGTGAAAGAAAGAGGCATAATTGGCCAAAGTAAATATCATCCAAGTACAGGCAAACTCTGTTTACACTACCGATTAACCCCTTTTCTAAGTGCACCCATTGTGCGGCTCGGAAGAAAACCTACTACTAATCTCACTCGACAAACAGTGGCTTATCAATCTCATTCAGTCAGCAGTGATTGATCAGAGAAAGAGAGAAGAACTTGCAGACACTGTAGAGAAGTGGCCATCATCATCATCAGATCAATCACTCGACTCTGATCTGTTGATGATGGTGCTGATTCAGCATCGACCGCAGCGCAGTTGTCTTTACCAGCTTTTGGCGACTCAACAGCATTCTACTTTTTTAGCTGACATTTTCCTTCTTTCTTTTTCTTCTTTCAGTTACGGCATCTCCGGTTCGACGAACGTCCAAGGAGAAGAGGTGAAGAAGCTGGACGTGCTGGCGAATGATCTGTTCATCAACATGCTCAAGTCGTCGTACACGACGTGCCTGCTCGTCTCCGAGGAGAACGATACCGTCATTGAGGTGGAGACGGAGAAGCAGGGCAAGTACATCGTCTGCTTTGATCCGCTCGGTAAGTCCTTGCCGCTGACTGATAACGAGCTTAACCGCGAGCTACGCTACGTTCTTTCTCTCTTTCTTTTCCTAACTGGTGCTCACCCCACCGATCAGATGGCTCTTCAAACATTGACTGTCTCGTCTCCATTGGTTCCATCTTCAGCATCTACAAGAAGGTAAGGCGAAAGTTTGCCAAGTTTTTTTGTCTACCAACTAGTTCAGTAATTGGTCTCGCAGGGAGCACATTTGGGTTGAGTGAGGGCGCTTTGTGATTGCTGTGTGCAAACAAGGTAAAAAGAAAAAAAGACGAGACAGCAATTGAACTTTGCTTTACTGAGCGGTGCTCGGAAAATGTTTTCTACTTTTGTTCTCCTTCTCCGGGTTTGGAATCCTACCGCCCTGATCACTGCTGCCTCGTGCTGCCCACTGTAGTTGTCTCTTTTAATTTGTCTCGTTTAGTCTGCTCCTTCCTGCTTGTTTACTTGCTGCTCTAACTGCCAGTGAGTTAGATCGACAGAAATAGAAGAAGAAAAAGAAGAATAAAAGTTATTGACAGAGAATTGTCGTGCTAACAACCATAATGGCAGATTCACCGGGCAGAAGTTTTGACAGAAAGAGAAAGAGGGAATGGGGAAAACTTGAACACATGGACACGATAAGCCAATCGATTCGGCAGCCTTTTTCTCCATCAACCGACGGCATTTGTCTACCTGTCTGCTTGTCTGGGTACAAATGGAATTCCAGAAGTTCAGCAAACCACAAGCAGCCTTTCTTTGACTCGGCACTAGCATTTATACCAACGATGTCATCCGCAGGCGCTTTTAATCATTTATTAGTAAATGTTTGAAGGAGAAGTGACACTTTGAAGCATTGACGGCAGTTAACCATTTTCACTTTTTCAAAAACTTTAAACGTTTTACCGGTGCACATTTTCGTTTTCACCTCACCTGCAACTCACTTACTACGTTTACTAATTACTAACGACACTGTGCTTATTAATTAATCATGCCGAGAAATTATTAGTAAACTGGCGGTTTTAGTGTCGGCAAAGAATGCAAATGACGTGGGCAAAGTGGTATGACACGCTAAATGGAAAGCTTCACAAAATCAACTCTTTGGCCAGACAATCGATTGACTGCTGTGCTTGGTATGATTGCAAATGATCACTAGTAGTAGTGCTCCCTCAGTCAACCAAACTGCACTAACAAAGTTTGATTGTAGAAAGAAAAGAACAAACAAAAACAGTTGTCGCATTTTTCTTGTGGAATGAAGAGCCCCAAATTGGAGTCCTCTTGAGGGACGGCCATTGTGTGTGTTTATTTGTTTGTTTGTTCAACTTGCTCTTTCTGTTGGCTAATTAATCGCTGCAGAGTTTACTGAGCTTTGTCTCTCTCTCTCTCTCTCTCTCTCTCTCTCTCTCTTGCACTTTTTAACCGTAGCCGTCGTCTTTGTAGTCTTTCCAATGTAGAGTAGTGTGGTGCACAGTGGAAGTTTTGTTTCACCTTTTGGTAAATGAATTATTTAGTTTTGGTGATGGTGTTCTCGCACAAATGGCTGCAAAGTCTAGCACCTTCATTGTGTGTTTTCTCTTCTGCTTTTTTCTTTCTTTGACCGAAAGCGGTAGTAGTAGTCGTAGTAGTGAGCAGGCCAGTAAATGGACTGTCGCACTTGCCCACTCACTTTCCCATACGCTGACTGCCATTTATTTTCTTGCACCTAAACAGGACAGCACCAGCAAGCCAGACGTGAGTGATGCCCTCAAACCGGGCAGGGAAATAGGTAAGCGACGGAGGTTACGTTGGGGTGATAAAGGTGCAGACACGCTGACATCTTTTTCTTTCTTTTTTGCTCCAGTGGCCGCTGGTTATGCCCTGTACGGCAGTGCCACCATGGTCGTCATCTCCATCGGAGCAGGTCCGGTCAATGGATTCATGCTCGATCCGGTGAGTGGTCCTGGTGATGATGATTACAATTTATGACCGACATTTTACTTCTTCAAAGGCAATTGGCGAGTTTATTCTCACAGACCCTGACATGAAAATCAAACCTCGCGGTAAGATCTACAGCATCAACGAGGGTTACGAGAGTCAGTGGGACGAGGCGGTGAAGAAGTACGTCCAGTCGAAGAAGTTTCCCCAAGTGAGTAGTACTGCTTAGGCAGTATTGATTGAGACAGCTGTGTGTGCCCGTTTTGTTTGTTTGCAACTGCAGGCTTCCAATGTTAATAATAAAAACTACAAAAACTCAATTTTTTTTCTTTTTAGAACGGAAAGGCATATGGCGCTCGCTACGTTGGATCCATGGTGAGTACTTCTAAATGATCGTAAATAATCTAATGCTGAATGAAGCAGTCACTTAATGAAGTCAAATCGGGGTAGCAGTTGCTGTTACTGAAACTAAATAACTGCCAGTCTGCCTGTCTCTAGTTGTTTGACTGTCAGTGCAAGTTGCTAATATAATCGGAAGGTGTCTGCTCTGCGATTTCCCTCTTTCTCCCTCTTTTCCTGCCGGCAAAAGGTCTAAAGTCGCAGACAGAGTGGGAAGAGAATGTTGTTGAGCTTGCAATTTAGCGGCGGCGGCAGCGGCAACTGTTCGATTGGTGGCCACTGCTACCCGACTAATGGTTTAGGCCAGTGAAAAAACTTGAAACTGCTGCAGTTTAGTGGAATAAGAGCGAGTAGTCATCGATTGTAGTGTGTGTGGCTTTGCTTGCCATTCTCTTGCTCGTAATTGCTTTCCAAAGTGCTGAAATCGACTAAACACTCGATGCTGCTGCTGCTAGGGTTGTTCTAAGTTTATTGAGAGTGTGTGGCTTTGCAAGGCGAACATGAAGAAAAGATGTGATGATAATTGCCAATTGGTACAGCTATAATTGCTCTACTTATCAGGCAGAGTGCAACCCAGACAGACAAACAAAATCAGTCAGTTTTTCAAATCTGACAAATCTAATTATTGAAAAACAAAGACCACCAAAGCTTGTGCGGAATTGAACAGGAAAAAATGTCGCCTCATCTTCTGCAGTAGAGCAGCGTACCATCGATTGCAACTAATCAACTGCGTCATTAGAGTCAATTGAGGGGAAACTTTTGTGCCCAGTGTTGGTAAGTGGCCGGTGAGGAGTGAAGGAGAGAGAAAAAGAGATTGGGTAAATCGATTGTCTGCTTCAACCGTATAGGTGCACGCAGTGTCACACACAAACTGTCTGACTCGTTTTCGATTGTAGTGCTGGTCTGTTTGCTGCTGCTGTACATTCTGTCTATAATTTGACCAGTCACTGGGAGCTGGTTAGAAAAGTGTTGTCTGGCAATCGGGCGGAAAATCAAGACGATCTAGAGTGAGCAAAACTTTGACAACTGCCAGTGCACAATTGAGCGAGCATCATCATTTGAGTGCTGCCCTGCACTGATTTCCACCGCAAACACAATCGAGCAGCAGCTGGGAGGAAAGCCAAATTGATGTCACTGCCGAGCACAAATGTGAAGTGTGTGTGTGTGTTTGTCTAACACTGATCCGATGATGACAGCAGTTAGTGTCTGTGTGTCTTCAGGCTCATTTAGCAGCCATTCGTTGACATGGTGCTACCATTTAGTGGTGATCATAATTAAGGCATTTTTTGAAGGGTGCTACTGTGTTGCTGCTGTAGAAGTTGCACTTGTGGCAAGCAAGTGTCTCGTTGTCTCTTCCAGCTATCGGAGCTAATTAATCATCATTGCAATGTCTGTTCGGTCTCTTCGATTAAGAGATTGCAATTTCGTTTTGCCATGCTCTTCGCTTTGCTTTGCCCAATTGGGCAGCCCAGTTTTGGTCACCAGATTGGCAAGTAACTAGCTCATTCTAGAATATGGCTAATTCAATTTTCTGCGCACTAGAAGCAGGATTTGCGGTTCTTGTAATGAGATTCATTCAAAGTGCTGCAAGTGAGGTTGCATGCAAGCGGCAACACTGCTTGCCAATCTGCTATGAGCCTAGAGGGGGTTCGGCTGATGGGGACTCGCTTCCAAAATGGCTGTGTGCAGACCATGATTAATGCGACTGGCAAAGTCGATTGGCGATCAGCAACAACATCAGTCGTCGGCGTCATCGGAATTTGCTTCTCCCTTCCTCTTCTTTCACTCTATTATTAATTCGTCCCAACTGCACACTGCCAGCAACTGTCCCTTTCCGCCCTGATCTGTCTGTGACTGTCTTGTTCTGTTCTGTCGTCTCATGAATTTCTGTTTTCCCTTTTTCTCTAATTTATTTTGTTTTCATTTGCCTGCAAATTAGGTCGCCGACGTGCATCGAACTCTTAAGTACGGTGGCATCTTCATGTACCCCGCGACGAAGGATGCGCCCAGAGGCAAGGTAAGGAAGGAAAGGAAAGGAAAGACGGGAGACAGAAGAGAAAAAAGGAAGAGCGACTTGTGCACCTGCATCTGCCGCTGTGCTGCCTAACTGGCTAGCTTTTCAGAGCGGCTAGCAGCGAAAACGGCTGCCAAAGTGTGTCTGTGTATGTGCTTCGGTGCTCGTCAGGCCGTGATCGATTCACGAATTGACGCGGTGACACAGGCAAAGTAAGCAGCAAGAAGCAGCAAACAATGCCCAATAAATGGCAAAGTTTGAAGCAGCCGTAGTCGACTACGACGCCGTCGTTGCCGTCACGGCCTTCAGTGTGTGTCATCTCGAGAAATGCATGCCAATGATGCGATTGCATCAAGGAGCAAGGAGAGAAAGATTCACTTACTTTCCTGCCAGCAGAGTGGTAATCGAAGAACAGTGTCTAGCTACATTTTTATTCATTTTTGCATACATTTTCACTTTATTTTTCTTCCATCTCTCTTCCCCTCTCCCCCTTTCCTCCATCAGCTGCGTCTGCTGTACGAAGGCAATCCAATGGCGTACATCATCGAGAAGGCGGGCGGCCTTGCGAGCACCGGGAAGATGGCCATACTAGACGTACAGCCACAGCAGATTCACGAACGAGTGCCGGTCTTCATGGGGTCCAGTGAAGACGTCCAGGAGCTGCTTGCCTTTCACCAACAGAACTGAGCACTACAAGTTCTGCCTGGCGAGTGCAATAACTGCACAGTTGCGTCTGCTGAACACCATGCCCGCCGGCAAAGTCAATCATCATCTTTTCTCCGTCTGTCTCAATCGGCTCCTTTCCACTGTTTTAGTTGAACAACACAATTTGGCCATGCACCGGACACATCCTCCGATTGGTGCACACCATTTTCAGTACTGGCAATTTCAACGTTCAGACGGGCGTTTTGTCAATAAATACCAATGCCAATTGAAATGAAATGGTCTTTGAGCATTACGCCGAGAGTTGGCGGAATTTATGCCCAATGGCGCCGGATCTGTCAGTGATTGTTGGGAAAGTGTGTCAAGTTCTCCAGCGAGGCTAGCTCCAATCCGCCAGCCAGCTCTTTACTGATTGATTAAAAGATTGATGGCCAGAGGATTGGTGGCCATTGATGATGCGCTGAGATTTACTGCCTGTCACCGTGTCAGTGTGCTTGTGTGCGTCTTCCTTTTCATCACCATCGCTTCATCTCAGCCACTGCTGCTGCTGCTGCTGCGATTGTTGATGCAGTCACTTTGATTCATTAGCATAATCGTCTGACTGCTTCCACTGCGGTTTTGTTTGAGAGAAATCGGTCATTAGCGTGAAACATTAGCACTACCACCGCCGTCAAGAGCCGAGGCTGCAGAGCAGCGGTGGGCGACGGCACTGGAAATCTATTAGTCCGCAGAGTGTCACTCTGTCAATAATTTGTGCCTCTGTTGATCAATTAACAGCTCGACAATAAATATTATTTTTTTATATAATGTATTCATATTATCGACCAAGAACACACACATTCTCTGCGACGTTCAGATTGCGTGCTGGACGCAGAAAAATCGACGAACCGCTTTTTCTTTAATAAAGATCTTTTTTTGCCCCGATCTCTAAACTCTCATTTTGCTTAGCTGTTGATGTTGGCATTTTAAAAATTAATAGCTCAATTTGGTGGTGGTGGTGCTGCTGCTGTTGCTGGGTGATCACAATTGAATGTCGTGAAGCAAGAGTGAATGAGAGTGCATGAGAAAGTGTGTCTGTCCTTTTTCTCGCTCTACTGCCAAGCTAAATGGTCTGCTCGTCCCAGACAGACTAGAGCAGGCCTACAGGCAATGTTGCCGATGAACGTATCCACTTCAGTACAGGCAGTCAATGGGAAGAAATAGAAGAGAGAAATAGAGGGAGATAGAAGCACTGTGCTAAATCTAATAAAGCTCTCCACTGGAAGACTCTGCTAGGGCCATTATTTTATTAATGCCCACTTCCTCTCGGAGAGTGCCAGAGAACCGCTTATGTCATAAATAATGGACGATTGGGGAGATTAGAAAACGAAGGGAGGGAAGAACTACTTGATGTGACGGAATGAAAATGGGAGCCCGTACTGGTGCCAGGTGATCAGCCGAGTGTCTGGGCTAAATAACAATGAAAACCAGTAGAGAAAAACGGGATACTTGATAGTTGAGTGCTCTTTTTTGCAATAAATAAATATGCATTGTACAGCATCGGTCGTGTGACCGTACAGGTTGTACAGTGTCATCTATTGTACTTGAAACAATCAGTTGGAACTCTACCGATTTGGAGAAAGTTGTTATGTAATGCCATCAAGTAGGGGCCTGACAATTTAAATTCAGAGTGGATATCTTTACCTGATCTGTGCTACAAATTAAAACAAGTCTGATAATTAAATTCAAGCACCAAAAAAGTGACTGGACTCTGCACCTGAAGTTGGTTAGGCAAACACCGACGTTTCAGCAAGCAAAAAAGGTGCTGTCACCATTTCGGTTAAAAAATAACCGACCGTTACTCGACAAAAACGGCTAAAAATAGTGACCAAATAGATACATCACCTGAGATTTCGCCGCCAAGAGGTACGTCGTCTAAGAGCATACTCAGCGAAGGGCTGATTTTTTGCCGCCAACGGGGGGACACAAGGTGGCTGTGCTGCCCACTGCTGTCGTCCAGAGCGTACTCGCGCTCGTTTGCTGTGAATGCGGCGAGAGAGGGGCAGCCCCGGCCATCCTACGCCCCCGAGTTGCCCGGGAAAGGTCAGTCGTTGACTCTCACTTTTGCTGCCACACAGTCTTGCCACCAGTTTCGCCTGTCAGCCAGTGACGGTGTTTATCGTGTTTGCCTTCTTCTCTCGGATCCTCGGCGACTGAACACAGTGTTGAGTTGGAATTACTAATTGTCTCTCCCTCTTTTCTGGCTACTGCTCCCACACTCTCTCTCAAGCGGCGCCCGTTCCAGCGTTGATTGTTGTCATCGTATCCTACTGTCTGTCTGGCTGCTACTGCTCCTGGTCTGGTCGTCGCTGACATCGTCCTCATCGTTTTCCCCTTCCCTTTCTCACTCTTCTTCCTAACTGCTCGTCATCATCACCGCCATCACCATCAGCAGCGGCAGAAGTAGCAACAGCAGCAGCAGTGTGTTGTAGCGTCGTGTCGATCCGACCGGTGCAATCAGCCGTACAGTTATACAGACACACACACACACTTTCTTCTGGGCGAGTTCTTCGCTGCTTTTACTCATCATCATCACACTCTTCTCCACTCTCTCCCACCGCCCACAGAGTGTCCAAGAAGAAGAAAAAGAAGTGTGACTTATCATCGTCTTACTACTGGACAGAGCGGAGAAGGTAGCTGTTGACAGATGGTGGTGATTCGCTCTTCTAAATGCTAATCTTTGTAATGCCTTTTCCAGCTGATGCTGTCTGACGACTGACACCCTCAAGTGCTGCAGTTGCCTTCGTTTGTTCACTGCTGTATCTCACACCTCCTTCGTATTATAACACTTGCCAAAATGAAACGGCTGCAACTGCCTCTGCTGAGCACACTGCTACTCGCGGCAGTAGCCATTGCCTCCGCGTTCTACCTTCCTGGTCTGGCACCAGTGAACTTCTGTGAATTCAACAAACCCGCCGAAAACTGCAAATCAGTAGTTAATCTCTTCGTCAATCGACTCGACTCTGAAGAGTCTGTGATACCGTACGAGTACAGTTACTTTGACTTTTGTCAGGCAGACAAGAATGAATCGCCGGTGGAGAACCTGGGCCAAGTGGTCTTCGGTGAGCGCATTCGAGGCTCGCCCTACAACATCAGCTTTCTGAAGAATGAAGAGTGCAAGCTGCTCTGTAAGAAAAGCTATGACACTTCTGCCCCTTCAGACGTCGACCGGGTGAACACTCTGCTGAAGGGCATGCTGAAGAACTACCAGCACCACTGGATTGTGGACAACATGCCCGTCACCTGGTGCTACGACGTGGAGGGCGGACAGAAGTACTGCTCCACGGGCTTTCCAATGGGCTGCTACGTCGATCCGCAGGGACTGGCAAAGGACGCCTGCGTGATGAACATTCTCTACAACAAGAAGGACACCTTCTACCTCTTTAACCACGTGGACATTACCATCAACTTCCACAGTGGCGAAAACGAAGCCTGGGGTGTCGGCTATGATGGTCACGCGGGTCGAATCATCGCGGTGTACGTGTCGCCACGAAGCATCAAGCACAACAAGGAGCCCTCCTCGGCTGACTGTCCCTCCAGCGCGCTGCCGATGGAGATTCCAGCCAACCTGCCGAAGAATGAGAAGCTGGACATCTACTACACCTACTCGGTGTACTTTTCGCGCAATGACAACGTCAAGTGGTCCTCCCGCTGGGACTACATCCTCGACTCGATGCCCCACACCAACATTCAGTGGTTCTCCATTCTCAACTCGCTCGTCATTGTTCTCTTCCTCACCGGCATGGTGGCGATGATTCTGCTGCGAACGCTGCACAAGGACATTGCCCGCTACAATCAGATTGACTCGGAGGACGACGCCCAGGAGGAGTTCGGCTGGAAGCTGGTGCACGGCGACGTCTTCCGCCCGCCGCAGCAGTCGATGATGCTGGCCGTCTTTCTGGGCTCTGGCGTGCAGGTCCTCTGCATGTCCATCATCACGCTCTTCTTCGCCTGTCTGGGCTTCCTCTCGCCCGCCAACCGGGGCGCGCTGATGACCTGCGCCCTGGTGCTGTACGTCTGTCTGGGCACGCCGGCGGGCTACGTGTCGGCGCGCATCTACAAGTCCGCCGGGGGGTACCGCTGGAAGCTGAACGTCCTCATGACTGCGCTCTTCTGCCCGGGCGTCGTCTTCTCGCTCTTCTTCGCCATGAACATCATCCTGTGGGTGAAGGGCAGCTCGGCGGCGGTGCCCTTCGCCACCCTGGTCGCCCTGCTGGCGATGTGGCTGTGCGTCTCGCTGCCGCTCACCTTCGTGGGCGCCTACTTTGGCTTCCGCAAGCGCGCCATCGAGCAGCCCGTGCGCACCAATCAGATTCCCCGGCAGATTCCGGAGCAGTCGGTGTACACGAAGCCGGTGCCGGGCATCATCATGGGCGGCATCCTCCCCTTTGGCTGCATCTTCATTCAGCTCTTCTTCCTCCTCAACAGTATTTGGTCCAACCAGACCTACTACATGTTTGGCTTTCTCTTTCTCGTCTTTATCATTCTGATGATCACCTGCTCTGAGACGACCATTCTTCTCTGCTACTTTCACCTCTGCGCCGAAGACTACCACTGGTGGTGAGTGATGCTGCTGTTGCTTCTTTTGAGTGTTCACATTTTAAGCCTTCATTTGTTCCACTTTCTCTCTTTTCAGGTGGCGTTCCTTTTTAACATCAGGTTTCACGGCATTCTACCTGTTTATCTACTGCATTCACTACTTTCTCACCAAGCTCACCATCACGGGGACAATTTCAACGTTACTGTACTTTTGCTACACCCTCATCATGGTTTTCCTCTTCTTCCTTCTCACCGGCACCGTCGGCTTCTTTGCCTGCTTCTGGTTTGTTCGCAAGATTTACAGCGTAGTCAAGGTGGACTGAGGAGGAAGGGAACTGCGGAGAAGGACGGACAGACGAAACGAATGGTTGAGGCAGGGTCTTTCCTTCTATTTAGACAATTTTACTGAAAGAAAAAACACTTTATAAAAACAACAACATGTGAATGCTTCTACCCACACCCACACACTCCTTTCCTCCTTTCCTTCCTGAGGCAAAGTTTTGTATTTATTTATTCTTTACCTTCTTTCCTAAGGGAGATGTTGATATTTTTGCAATACGTATGTGCGTCATATAATAAAAATGTGTATATTCTCTACTGACTGTGTTCGGCTTGATTGCCTCCACCTCCTCCCGCGTATGGCTTCACTCTGACCACCTCCACCAGGCCGGTGCTCTCCGCGTCAATGTCGAACCAGGCGGTGATGTGCATGGCGTCAATGGTGAAGAAGTACAGTCGGTCGACGCACTTGTTCCGTCGGTAGACTGACCGCGGGTCCGCCTGCAGGAGGCTGACGATGGCCTCCTTCCCTTCCTGATCACTTTCGAACATGCGAAAGCAGAACTTGCAAGAGGAAGAAGAAGGCTCAGCTGAAGACTGCTGGTGAAAGGACTTGGGGTGAAAGGCGGACAGCTGCTTCAGACTTCGAGGGGTAAAGTCGACGGCAATATCGGAGACCACTGATCCATTAACCCAGTTGGAGGGCACTGACGATGATGATGGTGGTGGTTCAACGAGATTGTTGTCTTCTATTGTTGGCTGCGGTTCAGTTTCAGTAACACAGTCAGTTTTGCTCGAGATGGACCTGTCCACTTGCAGTGGGTAGTCGTACTTTTCAATGTACGGTTTGATGTCGAGAATTGGTGTGCCGTCAATCATGTCGATTCCGGATATAAAGAGTGAACCATCTGAAAACAAAATGCGTGTCAAACTATTTTTATCACCACCACTACGCAAGTCACCTTTGACAGCATCAATTTTTGCCAAAGTTAAACCAAAAGGATTAGGACGATGCGGCGCTCTTGATGCAAACACTCCGCAGGAGGCACCGTTCAATCGAGGTGGACGTACTTTTGCTATGAAGCGTCGTTTATTAAGATTCTGATGGAAGTAATACAAAATCCTAGGAGCAAAAATATCAAATATTAGTTTTGGCTAAATCGTTTCAATAACTAAAACTCCTACCAAACGTATTGAAATTGCTCCATGCCTTCTAGAGCGTGCATCGGATTGTTGAAGAGCGTCTTGTGAAGGCGGACTATGCCCTTACTTTGCGGACAAATACCCGACTGTCGAGGTGTACCGTTCTTCTTGTTGAAAATTGATTCCAGTGTCGCCACCGAAATGAGAGGTAAATCCAGCTTCAGCGCATCAACTCTCGCCTGTTCATTGTTGTTTGTTGTCGGTGTGTTTTTTCTTCTTGGCTGTTGAACGCCCTCATCATTACTGGCACTTGAGTTATCGAGATCCATCATTTAAAGTTTAAAGAACCGGCTGAAATGTTTTGGTATTTTTTTCGCAAATCGCACTCTGCACGTGCAAGACAGTAAAGTGCCATCTTGTGTGATCGACAACAGCCTATTCCCGAAAGTCTGGCCTTGGCACAGATTCTTCATTGGCCAAGAGCCAGCATGTTGGACAAGCTTCAGCAGCTTCTTTAAAAGACTTTAACATTCTTGACTTTATTGGAGGTTATAGCTCATAGGGTAGTACATTGAAGAATTTGTAAACAGAGTTCTTTTGGTAACTTTCGTCAGGACTGTGCAAAAACAAAACAATACATATTTGTGCCATTTGTAAACAGGATTTAGTTCCCACAGGTTATGAATCACTAGAAGTGGTCTAAGACGCCTGCCAGCGCAAGTTTGAGTCCACATTGCCAGGCAGTTCTGCATGAGCAGTTCGAAGTGGAGCTCCACCTGAATTGCCAATTACCCCCCGAGTTTGCTGCTGCTTCAACCGTTGCTCAGCAGCATTGGCCAAACGCGCTCTCTTTTCGGCATCGTTCTCTGGGCCTGAATCCTGCATGATAAAGATACGAATGTTAAGGAAACGTTCATGGAGTCTTTTTATCTTGCATCACGTACTTCGTCGTAAGTGTTTTCATTGTTCATGTGATAACTGGTCTCCTTCGGACAACAGCAACATAGAGCGCCCATCTTTGCTTGTGACTAGTGTAGATTTGACTAATTATGTTCTTGTGTTGATCGTTGATTGTTGTAGAATGATGCTGCACAAAGGCAACAAAGAAGCACCTTTCTAAAATGGAATCTGCCAATTACAACGCATCAATCTGGCGAATCAACGTCAATCAAGTGAAATGGAAAAAAATTATGTAAACAAATCTTTACTCTGTCCCGTCAAAGACTACGTGATAACTGTTCATAAAAATGGCGCAAACTCCAATTTTTGTACTTTTTACAAAAATATAAATTGATAAGTTGACTGAAGATGGCTAGCTCAAACTAGACAAGTGAGAAAACAAGTGAAATGACGTAAACAGAGGACCGTTTATGAATGTGGACCAATTGTAAACAGGCACACGGTGGAAGTGGTCTACTATTTATTATTTTTTGACGACAGTGATGACAGTGACGACTCTCATTTTATGACAGACTGTCATAAAACCAAAGCAGGGGAAAGATGAGTTTGATAGCGAATTTGAGAGGATAACGGATACAAAAGATGATGCCTTTGTGCCGATGCTAGAGACAGTTTTCTTAAGTGGCATTTGTGACCAGATTAAAGTGCAGAGCACCATCATCTCTATCAAACCATGGAAAAGGGGTTCATTTTATGCTCCTTACTGCTGAATCTCTTAGTTGAACCATTCCACTGCTTTCCAACACCTGAGCCAAAGAATGCCACCACCTTCTCTTCTTCAATGTCAGTCGACCCTGAAGACTCACTGAAGATTGAGCTTCTCGAGTACCTCATTCTGGGCGTCATTGTTGCTCTGCTGCTGGTGCTGCTCTTCATCCTTCGCTACCTGTTGACGCTGAAAGATAAGTGTCCACACTTTTGCTGCGCCTGGGTGCCCAGTGCAGAGACTAAAAAGAGTCGTTCCAGCACAGTATCTCGACCTAAATTTGACAAACCCACGGCAACAACTGGACTAGAAAATGACACAAGTCAACTGTTTAACTAGCAATTGAACAAATTGTTTTGTAAATTAAATGTAAAACGAATCATAAAATATATTTTAGATGAAGTAAAAATAAAGTGCCCCACCGAATTAATTTTACTTACCATTCCAGGAAAAAGCGAAGAATGTCGCGGTGTGAAAAAGGCACATTTGAAATCTGACATTTAAATGTGTCACAGTGTTTGTGAACTAGGCCATTGTGTGCGGCGCTGACCAGAGTGAGCCGGCTCGTCTCACATGTTAGAAACTCGTTAGAAAGAGGTTCTGAAAAACAATCAGACTCATTTCCATTTTAAACGTTTCTTTTTCGAAATACTTTTAACATTTGATTCTCAAGAAAAGTCGGCTTCATTCCTGGTAACTGCAAAAATGTTCTCTTCTCCGCGGAGAAACGACTTGGAGAGTGTATGTACTCTTTCTTACATCTCAAACCGCCACAATAAATCGTGCCTTTTCTCTTTAGCAGAAAGTCAGCCGTAATCTCAGCATGGTCAAGCTCTTCTACCAAAACCGAGACTACGACACGGCAAAGTCGTAAGTTTGCTTCAGTTAACCGTTGCCATTTTGTTTCCATTCACACACACTTTTCTTTTCTGTGATCAGCTACGTAAATGAGGCGCTGAAGCTCAAGCCGCACTCTAGCGAGGCGTACAAACTCCTGTCGCAGATTCACGAGGCCACCGGAGACAATGCCCTGGCAATGGAGTACTACAAGAAGGCGTTGGAACTGAGGACGAATTCTTTTGATGAAAACTCACCGCTGGAAAACAACCGCCACTTTACGCCGACAAGGTCGTCCTCATCGATCAATCACTTTGGCGCCGGAACTCCAAACAACGTTTCACCACCATCCATCGTAAGCATCTTACACTTTGTTTTGTGAAGTTAATATAAACATTGTTTTTTAATTTTATTGAATCAGGTAAACAACACCAACAACAATGTTAGCCCTCAGCACTCGGCTAACATTGACAGCATTGAACGACTGCTCGACGGCAAAATCACCACTCTGTTGTCCAACTTTCAATCGAATGTAAACGAGAAGATCACTCTGCTCAGTGGAAGCGTCGACCGGATTGTCGGCGATGTGTCGGGCATCAAGGTTTGTGACTTTTCAACAAAAAGATTTGGGTTAATAATATCCAAAAAACTTTTGTTTCTATTTTAGAAAAAGGTCGATGATGTTCAGAAGAAGCTGTTAATGATTGGCAACAAACAGGAGGAGATGAGCGGCAAACTGCAGGCAACTTCTGCTGCTATTGCTGCTGTACCTGTTCCATCCAAAGACAGCAGTGGCGATGTAAAGCGACAAATTGAAGTCTTGTCTCGCTCTTTGGGCAACCTAGCTGACGACAATTCCAAAATTCTTCTTGAACTTTCCAAGCTAAAGAAAGCCGTCAAATCGCTCAACGAGAATGGCAACTTCAGTGATGACTACGACGAGGAATATGATGGTGACTTTAACTTTTTGTTTACAATCTTACGTTTCTAATTCTTATTTACTAAACTATTATTTTTTTTGCAGAAAACGACGACGATTATGAGGATGATAGTCAACAGGAACGGCAGCAACGATCATCATTCTCCAAAAACAGCTCCGAAAAGCCCAAACTCGGAACGTTGACTAAAAAAGTGGACAAGGATGCCTGGAACTGTCCCACTTGTGACACGCCCAACTCAAACTCCGCATCGGCTTGTGCTTGCTGTGAGACGGAGAATCCAAACACGGCCAAAAATACTACAAATGCGCTTGGGTCAGTTTCTGAGTTTAAGTTTGGCACTCCATCAGGCACTTCGGCTTTCAGTTTTGGCGTTCCTGCTGCTGCTGCTACAACTGCAACTTCAACTGCGACATCATCCTCAGCAAGCTCATTTTCTGGATTCAACATTAGCTCAAGC